TCATTTATCAGCTTGAATCAGACTGTCTCACCTTAAATATAAACACGGGTGCTGCTGTAAACTCGGTGGCCAGGGCATTGCTGTGGATTGTGTGTCTCCGTGTGGTATGATCGCACCCTCCGGACTCTACCAGCCCACCTGTCCTTATTTAGAAGAGCAGAGAAGAGCCAGAAGCAGCAACTCTCTGAGGACTCTTAACGCTGGAGAGTGTTTGTCGCTCATCGCCGTGATAGTTCACTCTGGACAGAGACAGCGTTTCTTCCAGGAACAACCTGGAGTCTAGAAATAGTCAATTATCTGGCTACCGTTCTGCCTCAGCAGTGACATAAAATCAGCCCTGATTAATCAAGCGTCAGTGGGAGTCGTGGCAAATCAAGAGCAAGGAAATTATTTGCAATTCTAACGACCCCCCCCCTCCCCCCCGCTGTTTTTCTTAAGACCTGTTAACACACCATGACTTCCTTAATATGTAGTAGTGTCATCCTGCAGATTAAGAGAACAATAGTGCCAATTAGCATTAGTGTTATCATGAAAGGTGCTCATCAGATGGGAGATGAGTGACCCACAGAGGCCTATTTGCTCCCAGGCTGAATTCTCAATCAGCGTTAGGAAGCAGGACTGAGGATCTAAGGAAGAACTACACCTACAGTATGTAACTTTAATTTAATTATATTATAGAAATAAATAAATAATTTATTTATGTAACAAATAGGAGATGATTTGACAATGTTCAGAAATTTTTACTAAGTCGATGTTGTGCCTTGTATCCATGGAGACTATCTGAGATATGACTGGGTTTGAGATATGACTGGCCTGCTATAACATGGTTGTCAGATACTTGTGGTGGAAACACTTGGCAGTAACAACTATACAAGGCTGGACTGCTCATGAAATAGACTCTTGAGACCCCTAGTGCCCTCAACAGCTAACTAAGTATGTGACGGTGTTCTGTTCGGCCTTTATTGTTTGTAACCACAAAAAAAGAGAGACTACAATCCAACACAGAGACTGTTTGAGTAAAAGCTAACCATGAAAAAAACCCAATTGTTTTGTTTTGTTGTAGACACTTGGGTTGACCTTCCTGACTCTGTGGGAGGAAGACTGTTGTTTTAACAAAACCAGTGGCTCTTACTTCGGCGCTGAATGAGGCGCCTTACCTTGAGACGACATACTTGAGGTTTTGAATGGCACTGCTTTGTTTTACTTTGGTTCAGCTAGGTTTTTTTTTCTTTTTTCTTTTTGCTTTGCAGCGGTTGACTTTCATGAGAAAATGGTATTGCAGGGCTGCAAGGGCAGACTCTGTGACGGCAGGGTCTTTTCTCTTTGAGGATGCCTGTGGTAGCTTCACCACGGCCTGCCTGGCTCTAAGCTCCCGATGAGATAAGTGGCGTACCTCAATGAGGGAGCCAGTACCAATGCTAAATATAGGCACACAAGAGAGGTAGAAGTGTGGACAAATATCAGCTGGCAATGAAAAACAACAGCATATCTCAGTCTCCAAAAGCAAAGAGAAAACCAAACAAACAAACAAAAAAATCAGTTGTTCTCTCTCTTAAAGAAACAAACGCGAAAAAAAGGTGTTTTGGTTTGACATTCCTGACATTCCATCCACATGTTCTGTTTGGTGCTGAAGTCCTTCCCCAAAGACCTATAGGTTTTGACCCTGTATAATCAACAGTGGTAATGAAAGACTTCACATACAGTTGAATTCTTTTCAGGTCACTAAGTCACTGGAACCTTAAGGTCCTCCAAACACAGATGAAGATACTGCTGTTTCTGCTTGTCTCTGTGTAGAGAAACACTAATCACTGTCACTGTGGCGTTGTACTCCTGAGTTTTTAATTTCAGGAAACGCTTATTCCATCACATTTATCCAGCCGGTGTCAGGTGACGCAGGTTTAAAATAAGCATCTTAAAAATATTTTACTGAAAAGATTCCAATGAACAAGGGGAATACAGTATGGCCCACGGTGTTCAGATCAGTAACAACACGTCTGCCAGGGATAATGTCGGGCCTGTTTTTGGAGTAACCCTTCCAGTCACCCATGCCTCCACTAGTAACTGATACAGCACAGCAGGTGTCATAACAACACACGCCTGTCCACAGCCGACACACTTCAGCATAGCTGACTTGGAAGAAGAAAAAAAAAAGTGATAGCATTCAAATTTTCCAATCAAGTCAACTTCTTTTTTTTTTTAAAGAAATTTTGATAGATTATGGGCATTGCTGTTTGGATCGTATTACGCAATGCGATGTTCATGCCAATTATTAACAAAATTAAAATATTTTGATTTTTATTCTCTCTGAGCGGCCTGGTAACAAATGACCTATGGTAGTGTTTGTTATTGGTCCAGAATCTGGTGGTTGAGGACCACGTGAGTTTTTTAATGACTAAGTACTTTAAAAAAATAACAAGTTCAAAAAATATAATGTTGTCGGAAGATGTGTCCTCACCCACCAGGTGGACCAGGCGACTATAAATACAACTGTAATTACATACTGTCTATAAGCAGCATGAATCCACCTACTGTGAACGTGAATGGGTGTAAGCACATGATCTGTGGTCAGGACTCGGAAGTTTAATGGAAGCCGTTGCCATGGTTACAAGCCATTATTTTCCCAGGTGTTCAGCAATCTGCAACCTGTGTAGCAAAGTAAACTTTCAGACGATAGCCCTTCACCTCCTCCACCTAACAGCACTTTCTCTCTGTGATGCGTAGGTGTCGCAACTCCTGTTGTGTGCTAGCATGCTAGCGCTAATGAGGCCAGCTGTCCAAACGCTCAGCCGGTTAGCCAGAAGGGATTGCAGGCTTTGTTGATGCTAGGTGTTACATCTCCTGTTGAAACACACACTTTTGTTTCAACACCGCCAACCATTTGGCACAGGAAGACCATCTCTGTTCTCACTCCACCATCACCACCTTCCACTCTTTACTCCTCCTCTCACCCAGCTCGCTGTACTTTGCTCGTCTCATTTATATTATCTTTCTTGTAATTGCTACCTTCTGTCCGCAGACAACAGCACATTGATTTTCTCTCTACAGCTTTATAGGTGATCACACTGGCAGTGTGCAGAGTGGCCTGTGTAACCGCTGACCTCAGCTCCACACCTGAGTGGCTGTGGCCCTAAACGGTCTCTTCAACTCGTCCTAATGCACCTTCTTTTCACAATGAAAAGTTGCACCGAGTTTCGCTGACAGAGAGCATGCATCACGTCGTGCAGCTGCTCTGACAGAAAAGGAAGGTGGAGTAAAGGTGAATTCGGTATTTTGGATGAAAAAAATAAGAGCGAGAAAAAAAGAACTGCAAAGATGTGTAGATTCATCTTCACAATTTTTGACATCTTTTTAAAGGCCCCAGCAAATGTTGATCCGTATAGGATTAAAGGTGTGGTGCTACCATATCATGGTTGAGTATATTGTAATATATCAGATATATTATAAATAATAAGTAGAGTGAAAAATAGTTCCAAAGGAGGGAAAGGCGATGAGAATGAAACGGTTCACGATGAACCCCGATAGGATTTTGCAGCTGCATCACAGTGGAGCTGACCCTGCAGCGACTTGCCAAATAACAGAGCTTCTCTCTCCTCCTCCACCACCTTTCATCCCTCCACCCCCACAGCTCTTCCCTCCCACCTCCCCCTCATCTCCTGAACCTTGTACGTCTTACACAGTCTGTGAGAATAACAGTTGTAATGGCTCACCCAAGACAGAGATTCGGGAGGGAGGGAGAGGGAGAGAGAGAGAGAGAGAGACCTCAAAGAAACAATTCTCATTGATTGAATCAGACATTCACCACTCTCCCAAATATGCCTTCACCTGGCAAAAAGTAAAGCAGCCTCTTCAGAAAGGCCCATGTGGGGTTGGGGGAGAAGACGAATGGGATGGAGAGAAAGAGAGAGAGAGAGAGAGACTGAGGGGAAACATTCAGGTATTTTGTACTGGCAGTTATTCAGTGGGTGAATGGAGGTGGTGTGATCGTGCTTTGTCTAGTGTGTGATGTGAGATGAAGTAGGAGAGGCAGTTTCATTGCTGCAGCTCTCTGCTGACTGGGCGGCTCTCATGGGAGGAATGATTTGGCCTCTGAGAGGAAGTGTAGCTCCGAGTTGGAACGGAGAACTGGAGGAGAGTGCAAGGCAGAAACCGTAGGAGTGGGTGGAAGTAACACAGGTGAAATGGATTGAGAGACCGTGGCCACATAGCTCACCCCTCGTCTCCCCCCGCCACGCACACACTGACATACAAGCACGTCTGAAGAAGACAGTCGTTCAGGAAAATTTACTCCCTGTAATAACCCTCTCTGTAGGTTGGCTGTCTCTGTGTCTCCTGGCTCCGTCAGCCCATAACACAACTGACCAGGTCACAAAGACTCCCACTCACACACACACACACACACACATTACATATTCACACAGACAACTGGTGCCTGCATTCTAACGGTCTCACACACTGGCCCTGTTTGTGTTCCTGCATGGGTGTGAATCTCTGCAAAACAAATGAAGAGCCTGTGTTGGATCCAAATTTTAATTAAAATTTTATGTGCATACTTTATTATGCATTAAAGCACAAAAATGGTCAGTTGCATTATTTTAATAGCTTCCCTTTATTGTTGTTAGCGCCTTAGCTGTCCAATTTTCTCCCACTTTAAGAGCAGCACTTTGCCTGTGGGGATCATTTAGGTTTCATCTAATCTACTGAAGTTGGACCATGATGTACTTAATTGGTGTTTTCAGCTAACTTGACCCTCCTTTCAGCCATTTACTTTAATAGTTTTGACATTTAGTGTGTATTTAACCTCCCAGACTCTTGGCCTTCCACGTTCTCCGCTCATAATCACGGAGCACACACGATAAAGTATACCTCCCATTATCTTTATTAAGGATGAAAACACAGAAAGTCTGCTGTCTGCTCACTTTTCCTTTCCAGAGGAATTAAAGAAGAGTTGCGCGGTCTGACAAAGTCATTCTAACCTGTGTCCTCCTCTTCCCCTTCTGCAGTCACTAACTACAATAATGTGGTGGAGGGCGGCTCAGAGTCCGATGATGAAGACAAGCTGCACATTGTGGAGGAGGAAGGCGCCCTGGCAGACGGAGCCGACTGCAACAGCACCCTGCCAGATGAAGAGCATCCCAGGGAGCCCTGCTGGAACCGTGGTGAGAATCATGCTTCAGGGTTGCACTGTTATACGTGTTGCTGAATCACGTCTGCTCTCTCCCATCCATCTCCTCAGACAAGGCTGTAAAAGCCGTAATCCGCCCACTAGTGTGATGCCCAGTTTTTCTGTATTCTTTACTCTGGTTTTTGAATACATACAGATGGGAAGTAGGGTAATTGATGATGCTAATCTGACTACAGTCGAATGTGGTCCTGTGATTGACTAGTGAACTGTCCTCCGCCCTCACACCATGACTTAGTCATAGCCTCTAACTCCTTCACAACCCTACAAAAGGATTAAGTGATAGAAGATAAAAAATATATATATATAATTCCAAATGTCTTGCTGCCTTCTGTAACATTTTAATTGATTGCTAATGTTGCATCTCAACCTGTACGAGTGAAGAAAATACCTTGTTGACATCTGTACACAGTCAAGTACCAGGCTCCGTTTCATTGTGAAGCGAGGAGCGCAAGGAAACAGGTACTATAGTACAAGCAGTGCATATGCAACCCAGGCAGGAAGTGCGATATCAAACAAAAGACAATGCCAGCAGAGCGAGAGACCTTCAAGTGCAGAGGACTGAGCCCTGTCGAGACTTTTATGGCACTGGTGGGCATTGAAGGGGCCTCAGTGAACTTCTTTTTACCTCAAACCCTGTGGAAGTGACATCATAGGCAGCTCACTTCCACAGGAAGGGCTGACATCACACACAACACACACCACAGATCACCGCACACACACACTCCTCCAGAACAACAGTCGCAGGTGCTGGAGGATGTCGGTGTTTCAAAGCGGGGTCACAGCCCCCTCTCACCTTGCAGTGTTTTTGAGGTACTTTGACACCTTCATCACAGATGTGTTTTTCTGTGGTACGTCTTATAGATTTTGGGGTTTTTTTATATACAAAAATGTACTGCACAGATACCCCTGTGTTGTATGGAGGTACTGTTGAGAAAACTTCTCTACACTGAGTTCAAAAGTGATTCAGCCCACACCGCAGACCTGAGCTCTGCGCAGCCAAGTGGCTCCCAGTTCATGCTGTCACCGTCCCTGCTTTGCAGCTGTACCTCTGAGCATAAAGGAAAAGTGGGAGGAAGAGTAATGTCATTGGTTTTGGCCAGAGCCTGTGAACATTAAACACTTCAAAACAGCAGGCTGGCTGTGCTCCACTGTTCTGCCTGATCAAGCATATTTCCTTTTGCTTTCACTCATAAAGCATGCACACACACACACACACCTCCTCGTGGTCTCTCAAGCCTTTATCTCATACATCAAGCCACATCTCTGCTGTCACTCTGGGTTGGTCTGATGAAACACACAGAAAGCCACAGTCCCTTAAACTAACATACTTCTCCCCTCTCTCTCATCCTTCCATCGCCCCTTCTGCCGGTTTCACTCCTGGGAGCGGAGAAGTCTCCGGTACAGCCTTGAAAAATGACCACCACCCACTAATCTTCTCCGAGGCGCAGCCCAGTTTGCTTCAAATTAAAGCCCTGACGCCCCTCCTCCTGAGAATGTTGCGCTCCAAAACCAAAGAGTGGTTTTCAGCACTTTGCCATCTCTCTTTTCAACCACTCCTTTTCTCCCTTTTACACGTCTCTGTCACCGCGTCTCATTCCCTGATTCATTTCTCTTGATTATATGGTATCATTGGCCCCACCGCTCGCTGTCTTTACTCATTCGCCTCTAACTGATTATGTAGTAGCTGAGCAGCCCAGGGTTGGTGCAGTAAACTGTAGCCTCCTCCTGACCCTCAGATAAAGTGAATTATTCCGGTAGGTAAAGCGTACAAAGAAAAAACCTGACCTTTTTGTTCGGTAAGCAGGGTGTGATTACACATTAAAGAATTTAAGGGTGGAGCAGCACAGCTTCCAACAACAAAATGCTGTTTTACTTTTTACTGTAAAGACCAGAGAGGATACGAAAAGATGACTTTTGAATTTGTTTGATGGACACTCGTCTACTACTGTCTGCCCACAAGACTTTTAGTTTCTAGCGGATGCCGGTTCTGATTTGGTGTTCTGTAGATCAGCCGCACCAGAGGACCTCAACATTCCTGTGTGTTTTATCTCATTATGTGATGTTATCATTAGGCTGCTCTGTGCACAGGAAAGTGAGAATCTGAAAAGATATGAGCTGAGGAACAGCACAAAACGTCACAGACATTGTCTCTCATTCTGTATCTACAGATACAACTTTGCATCTTTGATTGTGGAATTCTGTCACGAAATCTCTTATCAGTGATATGTTTCATCCCGTCTACTAATACAGTCCTGATTCATCACCACAGGAAGCAGTAGGGCCAGAGGTTGACCGGGCCAGGAAATGCATCATGCGAGAGCGGTAAACCCCTGTAGAGATGGTGGGCAGAGAAGGATGAGAGAGGAGTGTGGGAAAGGGAAGAATAGAGAGTAGGTGGTCTGCTGATCCTGATCCAGGCTGTGCTGTATACGGCAGTTTTTCATCGAAATTAAGTATAGAGTTGAATGGAAGTAAAAAAGTGTATCATAGAAGCTGCAGAGGATATAAGCCATACTGTGACGGAGGAAATCACTTTCAAGGGTTGATGAGGAATCATACAGCTTGACTTAATAATGTCATGCAGTTTCATATTGATTGCCCTTTTAACACACCTGACCTCTGCAAAGCTAATGTGCACATGTATAGAGGCATAAACCTAAACAGTAGAAGCTGTTTTTTGGTTATTTTCGCACTTGTGACCCACAGCTTTATTTCCAGGAAAAAGGATATACTGTTTTTTGGTGTCTTTTTTTTTTAATGCAATTTCTTACCCCAGCACTATGTGGCCAGAAATCTGGGGCTAATTTCACATCCCCGCCTCAGCACGTAAAGGTCTGTGTGGTGCTTGTAATGTCCGGGGAAATGTCTGACAACAGTCTAACACAACGCCACCAGGTCATGAACCCTATTTTTTCCTGGCTTCCAGCTCAAAGTCAAAGTCACACGGAACGCCATAAAAAACAACAGACTGTGACATCACAGCCATCCAACAGTAACCCACACTTAACACACAATATACAAATATAAGAAAATAGTAGTTATAGTTTCAAGATAAATATAAAAATAATTATATAAACACTTTCTCAAATTATCTCAATCAATCAAGGGCTACGGGAAACAGTTAGCCTAGCTTAGCGTTAACTTAACAGTTTCATTTATTCTGTGTTAACTTATCACAAACGTCTTATCAACGTTACTATAAAGTTGAAGAAACCCATATGAGAGTCGGTGACATTTTTATGATGCTTCTTTAAAAGAATGCATGTCCGTATTTTTTGGAAGTACTCTAACATTAGGCCGTTTCTAAGAGGCTAAAACATGAGACAAACATCCTGTGGGCTGTTGAGGTCATGGGAAACAGTCTACTATGTTGAGAATTCCTAATTTTGACATTCTCAGCACCTGCTGCTGGCTTTTGGTGGACTCACACAGACACACACACACCTACGCAAAGAGACAACTGTTCTCTATGGTTTTATCTCTCCCTGGTTTGTTTGAGGGTGGGAGGTTTCTCTGAATGCTCTCTAATATCCATAGCAACAAATGACTAGGCCCATATTGTTTTGTGGCTTTATTAAGGTGCACCAGAGGAAGTCGAGCGCGGCCGTGCGTAACAGTACTGGAATTCTCTGTGCGTCCGTGAGTCATGAAGTGCTACACCTGTTCCCGTCTCTGCTGAGACCACAGCTGGCCCCGTCTTTCAATGCACACAATTCACAAAAGAACAATTCTCAAATCCCCACTTATCGGGGAGAGTGCTGAAAATCAGTGTGTGAAACATCTGCCTTGCAAACACTACTGGCACGTTACCCACAGTAGCCTAACTTCTGCTTCTGCCTCACCAGTTAACCTTGCATTTCTTATCCACGATGACAACACACAGAGACACTAATACATCCACCGAGGCAGAGAGCCGGGTTTAATCAACGACACACAATACTTGGTTCCGGGATCCTATTCAGGAAGTGCTGGCTGAGCAAAGATGGAAGGAGGAAAGGAAGCTTTCATGCATCCTCAGGTTACACTTCTTGCAAACCCTGCTGCTTGGTAATTAGTTCTTATGCCTGCGAGTTGGACTCATTTGATTTGAAGGGAAAACGTACTCACACCTCACACACACACCGGGTCTCATCTGCCTGAATATAACGTCCAGTCAAAAGGCCTTTCTGAGAGCGAGCGTGTTCGTGTGCATACATCACCTATTTATTCATCCCAGTCTCAACAAGTACCTTAGCTAACAGTGTGACAAGAACTCTTTTTTTTGTAACTTCTCGGTACCACATGATTAATTACACGTAGGTGAACATGTCACAACGAAGAGCTCGGTCCGCGAGCTCCGGTTTAGTTATAACGACACACACGGTGACATTATTGGATTATCACGTTTCATATACAACGGTTAAAGTTTCATGCGCACAGCTTGAGATGATAAGAGAGCGTGTAAGTCCTGAAATAACAGGAGAATCAATACTGCCTTTTGGTTGCAAGCATGACTCTAATCAATGCTTGTGTGTGTGTGTGTGCTTTTAACCCCTCACAGTGAAGGAGGATTGCGTGTCAGATGGCGAGGACAATGTTAGCACAAACGCCCTGGTGGAGGAGATGCTCCAGCAGGGAGACACAGCCGTCATTTACCCAGAAGCCCCTGAGGAAGAGCTGCAACGGCAGGGCACGCCTGAAGCCAGCATACCCGACGAGAACGGTAAAGAACCAGACAGAGAATCCATCAGCTGTTATTTAAATTATAAAAACATATGCGTCTTTGGATTGGCTTCACTTGGGGCTTTTTGCAGCGTCGAAATCCTTTAGACATTAGAGAGGTTTTAAAAACGACATTTCACTCTGTCTGAGGGGCTGGTAATGAAAGCACAGGCTTGGCGTCCTTTAAAGGTGTTCTCATGTAAATAGCTGTTTTATTACGGACACAAAGTCCCGTTAATAGAAGTGGAGATCTCTCACAGCCACACTAAAATGCACAGCCGAGAGCTAAGAGTCAGTGAGGTGTCACATTGTTATCACACGTACCATGTAATTACAAGCCCCCCGGAGAGTGCCCTACCTGTTCCTTGTCTCACCTCAGGTGTTAACTCTTCCCCTTTGACACCACTCTCCAAACCTGATCACATGCTCGACCATTTGTAAATTGCAGCACACACTAAACCATTCATGGCTGCAGGGCTTTTACCTGCTCCCCAGAGAGGGGAGGGGCGGGGGGGGGAGAAACTGCAACACCTGAGTAAATTTGTCACGTCCCTGAGAGCTCTGACTCACTGCTACCTGAACGTCGCTCTGTGTGCCTTTCCATTTGGAGGTCCTCACCTGTCCCACATGAGGACTTAATACATCACCTGTTAACAAACTAATGCTTTACCTGTGTGGGAGCCAGGCAACTGAAAACCCTCTGTGCAGCAGCCAGGATCCAGGCAGGTGCAAGTTGTTTACCAAGCTCACTTTTTCTAACACGTGTGGGAGTTTCGGAAGATTTAAAAAGAACTACAGGCAGTCAGAATTCTAAAAGTCTAACTAAAAGTCATGCTTTTTTTAACAAAGACGGGAAAGTGTCACCACACATCAGTCATCAGCTTTCATCCAGCTGGGTACCTTGGTGCTGTTTACCTGAGGGGGAGGGCCTTTCAGTGATTGGTGAAATCACAGTGGAGTGTCACTGTGGCAGGTCATGTGGAACATCAAAGCCCCTACAGTTGACCATGTGTTTCTCCAAGCTTTACTGTCTTCACTATTTCACACTCACACACCATTACAATCTCCTGTACTCCACTCCTTCAGGAACTCCAGACTCCTTCTCCCAGCTGCTCACCTGCCCTTACTGCACTCGAGGCTACAAGCGCTACAGCTCCCTGAAGGAGCACATCAAATACCGACACGAGAGGACGGAGGACAGCTTCAGCTGCCCGGAGTGCAACTACAGTTTCACATACCGCGCTCAACTAGAGAGACACATGACGGTCCACAAGGGCGGACAGGTAAATACTGACAGTCTGGACACACATTAACTACAGATATCCATGGACTGGGCAGTTGATGTTTGGTTTTCTACTACTGCAGTTTCTGATTAAGTACTCTTTACTTTGAAAACTCTTGTAGTTGTTTTTAGTTATGGATCAAATGCAGGAGGTTGTTGGTTTGATTACTGTGGGCTAACCAACTATTTAATAAAAGGATTTTTTTGGTTACCTTCATTGTTCATTTTATTATTTCCACAAAATCAGTTTCCGTGCCATATTCATCTTGAGATACTGCAGTACTAGTTGATTCTAAGCAGTAGCGTACTACTCCGGCTACTACTCTTTTACCTTTTACTCTTACCTTATAACCAATAATAACCAATGTAACCATCCCACACAGGAGCTGCAGCTTAGCCTCCAACCATGATAAATAAACACGACCTTTTGCCCTCGATTGATTAATGACATTGTGACATGAATTAGTAGTGTTCAAAGGTTGTGTTTTCATTGTGTGTCACACCGAGTGACCCCTCTCCCCCCCCTTGTCCCGCAGAGACACATCACGCAGTCGGGTGGCAATCGTAAATTCAAGTGCACTGAGTGTGGCAAGGCCTTTAAATACAAGCACCATCTGAAGGAGCACCTACGCATCCACAGTGGTGAGTGGTCACCATGGCAGCAGTGTGTGTGTGAATGAACGGGTGTGTGCAGGTCCAGTGTAAATCTCTCGTCCGTCATTATTTATGTTTCATCACGTAGTAACATCCGTGTTTGAGACAAAGCCCCGTTTTTGGATACATTTATTTTTGTTTTCTGTTCACTGTGTCCTCCTTTAACATGATGTAATTGAATTTCTCGTTGCATTATGGGACAGCAATTAGAGCCGGGTTCCCAAAGGCGCCATTACATCAGCTTTAAGCATCATTGAAGCGCATTAGAGCTTTTTCCTGTCGTACCGCTCGTAGCCAAAGTTGCTCGTGTCATTTCATTAAGGCATGGAAATCTCTCTCTCTCTCTCTCTCCCGTCCGTTTCTATTTCTCCCTCTGTTTTTCACGCAGGAGAGAAACCGTACGAGTGCTCCAACTGCAAGAAGAGGTTCTCCCACTCAGGTTCATACAGCTCCCACATCAGCAGTAAGAAGTGCATCAGCGTCGTCTCAGTCAACGGGAGACCTCGCTTAGGGAACGCCAAAGCCCAGACCCAGGTTCCATCATCAGCGCTGCCTACACCACCGTCAGGACTCCGCACTCAGATTAGAGAGAAGCTGGATCACAGCAAACCCCTACAGGAACAGATTCCACTAAACCAGATCAAGACCGAGCCTGTGGATTACGAGTACAAGCCGGCAGTGATGACGTCCCCGCCCGTGGCCGCCATGAATGGTGGAGTTTTTAACGGAGGTGCTGCCGCTCCTCTTCAAGGCACAGTGCAAGCTGTGGTTCTGCCCACAGTGGGGCTGGTGTCGCCCATCAGCATCAACTTGTCGGATCTGCAGAACGCTCTCAAGGTGGCAGTGGATGGTAACGTCATACGTCAGGTGCTGGAGAACAACACCAAATGCCAGGGGCAACTGAACTCTGGGTTAACCACTGGAATGCTCCCCCCACAGCAGCAGCTCATCTCAGCCATCAGTCTGCCCATCGTGGGACAGGACGGAAATGCAAAAATCATCATAAACTACAGTTTGGATCAGGGCCATGTTACACCCCAAAACCTGAAGAAAGAGCCCGACTCTCCAGGTCAAACCACCACTGATACCTTCAAGTCCCAGAAACTCCCAGAGGACTTGACGATGAGACGGCCCAGGTCCAATGAAACGAAAGAAAAAGAGGAACTGACCACTAATAGTTGTCTCCTGTGTGATAACTGTCCCAGCGGGCTGGAAGGACTCCATGCCCTCAAGCACTGCAAAAAAGAAGGTCTTAAGATGAATGGAGTCGGCCTGGGGAAGTCTGAGTCTGCTGTGGCCGCTCTGTTGTCAGAGGGAGGACTCTGCAAGCAGCCCAAAAACCTCCTGTCCCTGCTCAAGGCCTACTTCGCCTTAAATGCAGAACCTAACAAAGATGAGCTGGCCAAGATCTCAGACTCAGTCAGCCTGCCAGTGCACGTGGTTGAGAAGTGGTTTGACAAAATGCAGGAAGGACAGATATCCCTGGGTGCTCCGACGCCTCCCTCAGAGGAAGAGGACGCCTGTGAAGCTAACAGCGTGGTTTCACTGGTCCCAGGGAAGGACACGTCCACTAGGATTTCTTCAGTGACCCAGGGAAGCCCTACAGAGGCATCCCCAGCAGAGGTCAACGGCGCCCACCGCTCGCCGGCCTCCTCCTCTCCACTCAACCCCAGGGCTGCTAGTCCAACATCAGCTCAGCCGGCCCCGGGCTCTGAGGGACCCCTTGACCTGTCACTGCCAAAGCCAACAAGAGAGGAGGTGGAGCAGACGGTGGCCAACGCCAGCATTTACTGCTCGCCCTCCTCCCAGTCTACCAGTGAAGACGAACCCCTGAACTTAACTTGCACAAAGAAAGACGCCTTGCCACTCTCAGCCATGGCCAACAGTCCTGTCACACTGTACGCCAGCCAGCCAAGTGCCAAACCCCTCGATATAGTGACCACAATGCAATGCTTAAGGGCTCTCGCCACCAATAACAAACAGACTATACTGATCCCACAGCTGGCTTACACCTATACCACTACAGCAAACAGCCCTGCAGGGACAGAGATGCACGAAACCATCCACCTCAATGGAATCAAGGTAAGCAGCTGTACGGCACCCACAACAACTGAGAGCCTCAGTTTTAACCACATGTATAGGGGTCTCTTAAATATTCCCCTTGAGGTATATTTTTTTAAAATTAGTATTATTTAAAGATTAGTACCACCTGCTTACACTGTACAATTACACAGTGTTAGGCTGTGATTTCTGGGGTTCTGAGATCACCTCTGATGTGGCCCTCCAATGAAATAACAGTGGCAGTTTGAGACCCCACATTAGGTCAGTGTTTGTTATTTGACCAAGTGGATTAGGTTGATTGATACCACTCTTACATGTGCTTAATATAAAATCCACAGCTAGTTGCTTAAAAAAGCCAATAAAATCTGAAAATATAATAAATAAAAATAATAATAAAAATGACTTTCTTCAACTCTGGCCAAAGTTGTAAAATCCCCACACAGCTCCTTAATAGGACACCATTAACCTAACC